TCAATCTAACTTGCTTATTTTGGTACTCAAAAAATTGTCGTTTTCAATCCTCTTAGTTAAAAAAATTTCCGGACCTTCACCCCCCGTATTTTCGCCCCCTAAGATTGAAATCCTGGCTATGTCCCTGGACAAGACTGCAACTACCTTAGATACAAAATGTACAAGATTGTGGTTTTGATTGCTTTAAGACACAAGTCGAAGAAGCAACAACAATTAGAATGTTCAACCTTTAACATTAGATCTTACTCGAGGTTTCGAGTTAAGACACTAATTTTAGACATTACTTAATGAAGAAGACAACTATTTGGCAATAGGGAAAAAAAGGCTAATTAGTCGTATGTGTTAGCTTTAAAAAAGTACAATTCAGGGCTACTATCATATTTACGAAATATTTGAAACGATGGTTCCGAGTATTGGAATACCCGGTCCGATCCACATGACTTCCAGACCTACTATCATTTGATATCTTCTTTTATAGTCTCTTTTTTTACCTATTTGTTGTCATAACTTCGACTGTTCAACCTTTACGTTCAGACTACATGTGATTTAGAGTAGTAATCATAGTTACTTAACACCTGTTTGACGATCATTATTTTTAAACTCTTTTTTCTACATACTCATTTTCAACCACACATTCACACAATAAAATATTTTGCACGTAAGTTTAAAACTTTTTCCTATTTTCAAATCATACATTCTCGTAAAAATCAACATTCAAAACTCTATTTTTTCCAAATAATAATTGTCAAACAGGGCTTAATAAATAAGACATCTATTTGACAATATGCAACTAATATGTCTTATCACATGAAAAAAGTGTGACTCCCTTCGCTTCTCTAGTTGTCTTTATAGGTTAGTCATGCTAGGCTCAACTTTAGAAGTATGATGTCGAAGAAAAGGCTCGTAAATCTAGCAAAGCCCGAGCCTTGCCTAGCCACTATAATTTTAAGCATGCTAGAAACTAAGGGTGGCTCGACAAATAAAGGTCTATTTACAGTTTTACTGTCCAAAGATACTCTTTTATCCATACTTTATTTGAGGTACAAAATGTGCGAGTCGACTCTTGAATCTAGCATTGCAAGAATAGCAAAATACACACACACACACATTTTACTTTTCAACTCCAACGTGTGTGTGTGTGTGTGTGTATATTTTCTCTAAGGTAGGCTATTTGCATGGGCGAAGGGAGAGATGTCCCAAGCCAATTTAATTTTATAAAGGTGAAAAAAAAAAAAATATATTTTTCATTGCCCAGTGTAAAAATCATTTTTTGTCCCCCATTGGCTCCGCCCCGGCTAGATAGCTCTTTTCGATTCATGGATCCTCGGATCTGAAATATAAACGGATTGAACAATATTAAAGACGATGAAGAAAAAGAAGTTATAATCAACATTGAACACCAAACGTGTGCTTATGGTCACAATATTCCTCTTTCATCTTCCCCATTCTTCTCAAACCAAATTCAACAGTTAA